TACAGATGGCATTGGCAGAGAGCTGGGGAGTGCAGGACCAGAATGGGCACAGAGAACAGGCCTCAGAACAGAGATTTCTATGGCTCTTTAGAACTTGCAAAGTATTCTACAGATATTATCACATTTGAACCCTATGAAACAGGTCCTAGAGGTACTTTTATGCCTGCTTCTTTACAGATAAGGGAATTGAGAATCAGAAGAGTTAAGTGACTTTCACGTGGTCACACAGCAAGTAAACATCTGAGGCAAGATTTAAATTGGGGGCTTCCTGACTGCAAGTGCAACCCTCCGTGTACTATCCCACGCTGCCTCTCCTACCATGAGGCTTCCCGCATTTCTCTAATCCTCTCCTGTTCCTTGATGGGTGAGTCCTCTGGCAGTTTCAGCTCAGATCAGGGCTGCCTTCAGAACTGGGCCTGGCTGAGCTGATTGATGGTCAGGACAGCTCAGCCAGCCAGGACTGTCAGGGCAAGGAGAACGAATCCTCAGTCTCCCGCCTGCTCCCTTGCAGTGTGCCCCATGCAGATTTCAGGGCCTCCCAAAGGACAAACTTCCTTCATCCAGCCCTTTGCGTAGGCCTCATTTCAGTATGAAAAAGGAAAGCCTGAAATTTGTCTTTGCCAAAGTTTATCTGGCTTGTCTTCTGAGAATCTGACCATGACACTCTCCAGCAGCAGGCTTTGACATGGCTCCCATGGAGGCCAAAGCTGGAGTCTGCCCTGAGTTCTGAGGAAACCCAAGACACCCCTCCTCTTCAAATCCAGCTGAGGTCAAACTCCTGTTTCTGGGAGACTTCAGAGACATGTCAGGCCTGAACCCTGGCAAGGCCAAAGTGACCTCCCAAGCTGTCACCCGTCAGGCCTGGGTGGGTCCCTGAATGTCCAAAATGGAGGCTGGCCCCCCAAATGCTAAGGATGCAGGGCAGGGAAGATAGAAGCGGAAGGAAATGGAGTTCCTTCCTTTGCAAGTTGCTCGGTTCCCTGCCCTCAGGTTGCATGAGAGTTAATCAAGGTCAGAATCAGACTAACTTTAGAAATACATCCCTGCCTCATTCCCACCCCAGTACTCTGCAAGTTTACTTTGCAGCACACAAGTCTCCCCTGACTGGATGAAATCAGGGCTAAAAATAGGCCCAGCCCGGTTCTAGGTTTCTGCAGTTGTGGTCCAGGTTGAATTTCAGCAAAGGCAAAATTAGATGCATAAGCAAATTGGATTATAGTTTTTTGTCAGTTTTATTGACCCTGAAGGCACAGGAGACCTGAAAGTGTAGAGAGCATTGGACTAAACATCAGAGGGCCGAGGTTTGGATCCTGGCTTTGTCATTTATTAATAGCCTGTGAGACCTTGGATAAATTATTGGCCTTCTCTAGACTTCAGCATCCTCAACTAGAAAAGAAGACATAAGAATCCAGGCAGCAACATGGCCTATTGGATGGAATGCTGGACCTGGCATTAGGAGAACCTAGATTCAAAGCCCACATTTAGATACTTAAGAGTTGTGTGGCCCTAGGCAAATCACCTAACTATCTGCATCTCAGTTCCCTCATCTGCAAAATGGGGAGAGAGCTTGGACTATCCAAGCCTCTAAGGTAGGTCCAAGCTCTAAATAGATAATCTTAGGCTTATCAGGACTCTTCTAGCTACAAGTCTATGATAACGTCAGTTCAGAAAAAATGCAGAAGGCTAAGTTTTGCCTGTTCCAAACCATACACCCAAGTTCTCTGGAATATTTTTATCTTCAAAGATTCAGTCTTGTTGGAGGAAAGTTGATGATGACCAAGAAAGTATAAAGTATTAAGGAGTGCCTTTTAAAAAAATACTAATTTATTTTATATCACCTTTATTCCCTAATAGCTCCTTCTCCTATCCCTCACCCAGATAATCATCCTTTATGCCAAAGAACTAAGAGAAAAAAAAGAAAGGAAGGAAAGAAGATAGACAGAGAGAGAGAGAGAGACAGACAGACAGACACAGAGAAAGAGAAAGAAAGAAAGGTAGTTCAAATAGCCAAATTGTCAACCAAGCAATGGTTTTCATGTAAGCTCTTGAGTTCCAGGGATAACACCCTGCCTGGCTCATGGCAGCCACTTCATTGAATAGCTCAGGACCAGAAAGGTCAGTGAGAAGCTATATGAAATTAGGTGAAAGAGCATGTAAGGAGAAGGGTGATGAAAGAATATCAGGAGAAAATGCTTGCTTCTTAACATGATGGGGAGAGAAGTGAGGATAAAAGGAATGAGGGTGTGTGTTCCTCCCCATCACGTCCCATAAGACAGTGTCATGGGCGTCTGACTTTCCACCCTCCCCATTTAGCTAAGCTACCCCTCTGTTTTCTGTCTTTTCCCCTCCCTATCCCTAGATTTTAGCTGTCCCTTGAACTCTAGGGGACAGTTTAGCCTTGAGTGCCTCCAAATGGCTGAAATGGGTCTGGGAGCAGGGAGTAAAAGCATCAGGGCCAGCCATAGAGGAAAAGGGTGAAAGAAGTCACCCTCCCTGTCTTTCTCCTCACCCAGCATCCACTGGTCTGCCTCTGCCTGCCCAAATTCTCAAATCTATTTTTAAACACCATGTTTCAAAGTGAGCAAGATAGCTATAGAATGAGCAAAGCCAGGGGATTATGAGGAGAGGACTGAGCTATCTTTCAGTCAGGGTGACATCAGTGCCTCCTAAGCATGACTGAGAAGGAGATGTGCCTGATGAGTGATTGGTGCTGGGCTCAGGTGATGGCAGTCATCGGCCAGAATATGATGCCTATGCCCAGGAGTGCCAATAGGCATTGTGATCAGCCCCAGGACACTGTAGCCTGATTGCAAACTATGGAGAAAGCAATCAATGGTCATTCCTGAGTCTATTTTTCTGTCTTTTTCCCAACCTTAAACAGTAGTACCTGGGGTGGAGTGGTGGTACAGTTTGGAGGGGGGAGAAAAATCATTCCCAGAGGAAAATGGTATTATTAAATATCACCACCAAGGGTGGAAATCTATGGAAAATCCAGTTGGACATTCACTTAACGGTGAGCCAGGTGAAGGAGGCCAGGACATGGAGCTCAGAACAGAACCTCATCTGAGCCAATTTCTTAAATACTAGCACTGATGGTTACCATGGCTTGTTGGCTAGGCCTTTTTGTCCCTTTTTGCCCCCAAAGAACCAAAAGATCATAAATTCAGAACTAGAAGAGACCTTAGAGCTCAGCTAGTCCAATACCTTAATTTTAGAGATGAGGAAACTGAGGCCTGGAGAAATGAATGAATTGTGCAAGGTCCTTCAGGTAGGAGCTGTCCAAGGTGGCATTCATAGGTCCCTAGATTTAAGCATCAATAAGACCTTACAGGTTGCCTTTTCCAACCAACCCTTCTTTTATAGATGATGAAACTGAAGGCCAGAGAAGTTCAATGACTTGCCCAAGGTCACTCAGATCGTAAGTGTCAAAGATAGCATTCATAATATCACATACTGCAAGCTGGAAGGAACCAGGGGTCAACTATGTCAAGCTCCTCATTTTCTAGATGAACAAACTGAAGCCAAGAGAGAAGGAACGTCTTCTAATAAGTCAAAGCCTTCATGGTAAAGTATTCTCATGGCTATCCCAGCTCTTTATGAATTCTTGATCCAGAATATACATGCCTGGATAATGACCCAGGAATGAGATTTATGTGAATCAAATTCATCCCCAGATTTTAAGTAGAGGTCCAGACCAGGTGAGGTCTATCATACTAGATACCATAGTAACACAATCTTGGTATGGAAAGAATCATGATTGTTGACATACGAGAATTGAAAGATTGATTCACAGAGGACATTGTGAACATCATTTCATTTGATCCTCACACCAACCCTGTGAAGTTTACTGCAGAGATTAGTTATCTTACTTTACACATTGGGAAACTGAGGCAGTGAGGTCAAGGCACTTGTCCATGTGACTTCTCTAGAAAGTTCTATAGTCAAGAGCTGAATCTAGCTGTCTCCTGAGTCCAGCAGTCTCTATTATTCAGTGCTCAACTTGGGACTCATTGAATTTGGGTCACATTCCAGAGAGCAATGTGGTATAGTGGATAGGGAGTTAGTCTTATAGTCAGAAAGATGTTGGTTCACTTTCCATCTCTGGCACTTACCAGTTATGCAAGCCTGAGCAAGTGTGTGAACCTCTAGCAACTCCCTAACACTTATCTATGAGGTATAAACAGCTGACATCTTTGTTGGCAGAGAGAATTCTCCCACTCAAGGCAATCATAAATGATTAATGTATTCCCATATAAGAAAACCAAGCAGGGATTCCCTTCCTCTTGGATTCCTTGAAGAAGGATTTATCCAGAACTATCAAATATAAATTAAAGTCAATGTTCCCCACCCTTCCCATATACAAGATCAAGCATTAAAAATCTTGGGCAAATGTCACATTTATGGACTAAAGTATGTGAGGTAAAAAGAGAGACATTGTGGGATATGGAAAAGGAATCCTGCATACAAATTCTTTCTGTTTTGTTTCCTACCTATATGACTCTCCAAGTTTACCCTCCCTCTTTTCTATGTATCTGCGTGTACCAGGCTCATGGTAGCTGATAGATATTGTCTGTCCCCTCCATTAAAATGTAAACTCCTTAAGGGCAGAGAATGTTTTTTTCCTGTCTTTGTACCCTAAGTATTTAGCATGGTGCTTGATATGACTAGTATATAATAAATGCTTTTGAATTGAATGGTTGCTTGATTAAAGTCATTTAACCTTTCTTGGCCTCAGTTTCCCTATCTGTAAAATAAGTGTGTGTGTGTGTGTGTGTGTGTGTGTGTGTAGGGGGACAGGAAGGGACTAAATGACTCCTAGAATCTCTTCTAGCTCTAACTTCATGAACTCTGCCTTCTCCAGTAAAATGTGTTTGTCTTGCAAAGGCTTGTAATTGGCCAGGCTGATTTTTCTCTCAAGTCATTTGTCGGGGGTCAAATGGTAGGGAACATCCCAGGGAGGTGAGCTCATTAATAATCAACTATTTTGTCCTCCATTACAGAAGAGAACAGATGTACCAGCTCGAATGCAGCAACATGTAGCAAGTGCCTGGTGCTGGGCCCAGAGTGTGGATGGTGTGCCCAAGAGGTAGGCTTGTGCTCTGATTTCTAAGCTGGACTTCATGACCTTAGTCAACTGGGTCGAGGAAGTGCCCGATGGAAAGAAAGGGGGGGAGAGAGAGGACCATCAGAACAATTTTCCTAGACCTTATTATTGGAGAGAGCCTATCTGGCTTTATGAAAATAAAGCTTAACCTTTTTATTAGGAAAATTACAGTAATTTAAAAATAAAGTGCAAACCACTTTATGTTTTCCATCTGGTCCATAGACAGCATTGGCAGACAGAGATAGTCACTTTTTGTAGGCTCAGCCGACTTTGGCACAGTGTGCCAGCCCTCATTTATTTTAAGCATTTAATTATATTTCCAAGCTGAATCATGCTCATGTATAGGCTTATTAAATGTCAACAAGCTAATATATTAGTTGTGTTTCGTTTGCCTTTGTTTGAAATACTTGGAGATAAGTCCTACCCTCCATTACACAGCACAGCACATCACTTCCTTAGTGGCTGGTGGAAAAAATTATTCCTTCTCTCTCTCTCTCTCTCTCTCTCCCTCTCTCTCTCTCTCTCTCTCTCTCTCTCTCTCTCTCTCTCTCTCTC